GAAGCACTTTGATGCCCGCACTTTATGACATAAGGAATGGAGCTTTTCTATAATTCCTCTTCCGCCATTTTCAATGAACACTCGGAGAATCTGATCCACATCGCAGGCTTTCATTATTGAGGTGCAGTGAGATGTCACTACCCTCTAATATTGCTAAGAAATAAACGGCGGGAAAGGTAAAATCTGGATGTCAACTACTGAGTAGCTATTGAAAATTCCCAGCCCATCTTTAAAGACGTTCCCTCTTATCTGCAAGTCAACACCTTAGAATCTTGAATAAGGAAAGAGCGAGTTATCTGGTTACCAGACAGTGGTCGTACTCCTTAGAACACCGTTCACCAATCACCCTATGGTTCCTTTAGCGTCTTCCATGCATGAACAAGACGGCGACTGGTTACCTTTGAAGATGGAATAGGATGTTGCAAGTACTCCTTCTTAGCCTAGTTCTTCTACTCTCAAAGGGTTAAGGTGTTCTCCGTAACCCAGGGCAGTTGGCTCTCCATTTGATGATCCAAACTACGTTCTCGCCGAAGAAATGACTCCCTGTTTCGAAGTTCACAACAGTCTTCACGCTTACCATAGCAGCTATAGGGAAACAAGTTCTACGGTATTTCACTCTGCAAAGGAATCCTGCGTCATAGATGAGAGAATAGTTTGTCTAGAGCGAAACATGCACAGTTGTGTGAAAGACAAGCTACCGCGTAGGAAATAGCAATGCAGCTGGGACGTTGCTACGAGCATTTCAATGCACAGTGGATTATCACTAAACGTGGAAATAGCAAGGAAGACAGCAACGATGAGATTCTGACTGAACAAAATCGGTTCAGATTTGACAGTCTTAGAAATCATAAGCAAATTATTTAGGTCCAATAGTCGTATGCAAGCCTCAGTGTCCACATGTCGGGGATAACTGCAACTGTATTTTCAAGGCGGCATTAGGTAAAACGTTGAATTTTGAACGTAGTTGCATCGCCTAAACAATTAATAAAAATGCAGAAAGCTGATATTCATCGTGTAAAGTGTAATGGTTTTTAACAATAATGCGCAATCAATACTAAATTCAAGGGATTGGCAAAAAATTCATAAATATTCAGTACATTTTACTTCAATGCATAGAACCAAATGCACTGATATTGCCAATCACGGGATTAAATATAAAATTATGAAGCTTAGAATCTCTTGTTACTATTCCGAACATACACAACGTAGTCGCACCAACCTTTTGCTTCCAGTAACATAGGACACCGCTTAAGCAAATAGTAGACGAATATAATAAAAACTAACCCAGCATTATGAATTTACTAGCAAACTGTTTGTTTTCAATATCGCTGGTAAGAATGACAATCTTATGTCACTTCTCCGAATTCACACGGCATAGTGGCGTCATCCCTTTGCTTCTAGTAGTCAAAGAAACCGTTTAAGCAGGCCGGAGTTCCATGGTATTTTAACATTTGCAGTGCAATGCATGGGCGCAAAACTGCATCTCTTCGTTGAGTCGAACAGAAATCAGTACCAACCTATATACTTCAATCTGCTGTAGGCACATATAATCTCGGTATTTTGGGCTTACTAAGAAATTGCTAGTTTGCCATACCGCCGATAAGCGTTATAATCCCCTATCAATTCTCCGGATTTATACGGCGTAGTCGCACCGGATTGAAAGTTTTCAATTAATCAGTTTTGAAATTTTCAAAACTCAAATGAATTTTCAATTTCATGTATTTCATGATATTACGCGAGGTTAGCATGGCCACAGAAAACTGCATGACTACTTCACCCCACGCCAAGTAAATGAGCCTACTGCGGATTAATGAAGAGCTATGTGAAATAGAAGTGCAACATTAGGCAAAGTAACAGAACAGTGAAATGCAGCTAGTAAAACTGTTTCCATACCCTGTTAAGAAGCGGAACCGCATGAAAGATAACACCATCTTGTCTCACCAATGCCACAACAACAGGATGGTCGTTTTTCAGGCAAAGAAGGTCAACGTACCCCCATCCGTAATTATCCTCTCTGGGCGGATACACTGACACCATCACCGGAAACGATAACATCCTAAACGACGACCACAAGAAGTAATCACTGCCGAATTGCATCCTATTGCAGAACAGTACATAGTGTCGTTGTTACGGCCGATGGACAAGTAGCAGACATCGCCGCATTCAAATACGAACAAGACGCATGTGAACGAGTGACCGGATGAAGCCGTAAAAGAGCAGAAGTCGAAAGCAGCTGCAAGAAAGTAAGACAAACTTTTACCTCAAATTATCATCGTTTAACAGAAAGCACTGTATTACTTGCCATTTCACCGAGACATTTTCTCGACACGCAGAAAGCCGAACCACTCACCTCCAGATTGCCCTGACCGACGTTTACCACCTGAATGGGATGTGCTGTCGCGCGAACATCAAACCACCTAAAAAGAACATAAGCTCAATATTATTGGCGATTTTCGCTTAGTTAGGTGACGCGCTTTATTGTAAACAAACACAAAAACCATTCATCCGCAAAACAACCAGAAGATGAACAATTTTTAATCTACATTCTTCATCGTATCAAGTAAGTCAAAATTTGGCACCTCTAATAAAGTTGTGTATGAGAGGAATGACGCTGTAGACCATCGCTGAAAACTTTTAACAGATCTGATTAACGCATACTACTGTGAGGCTCCTGTGTATCGTCGAAATGAAAGGAGTCATTAGCAAGAATAATTTAGCCGGTTATTGCTGCCGTGTTCATCTAGAAACGATAAAGCTTAAACAGCAGACTTCCAGTGATTACTTATATTGCCCGATACAGTTATCCATTTTCAGACCGAGCTATTCCTTGCAGTTCAACAGACAGCAGCGTCTGAAGACACAACCAAGGCATCTGATCGTCTGCCAATCAGGTAAACTCAATCAGCTAGATTTCAAGTACCTGGCAATACCAACAACTCAGTGTTTCCCAATCGTCAAGTAAATTTCTCTGCTGCTTTCCATAAGGTGGCTATACGAGTCTCTCCTGAAGCTAAGAGAAGAGTGCTAATAAAAGTGATTAAAAGAGACTGTCCGTTTGGCGGGAACACTAGAATATCTTATTCAGATGCTACTGCCTCTGCAAAACGGCTAGCCCTGAAAATGAGTGAGCGGACAGATGAAAAAAACAACTAAAGCATGATAAATATGAATAATAATAAACTGATCTAATCTGAATTTTGCTGCAGGTATGCACAGTCTATTATGATGGTTCTACATAGGCCATTTTAAACTTAATCCATATAAGCAATCACTTTATTTTCCACCGCAAACACGAAAACAAATCTTTAGTCGCTACGCTAACCACAAACAAACTCCTAAAAGTTGGTCCAGACTTTTCCAGTAAACTATTATATTGGGACATATTCAGTCATACAGTCATATTCCCAATGCGCAATGCTTCGGTGCAATTTCGCGCTTCTGCGGATCTAATGGATCCAATATTTAAATTGTCTGTATACGACAAAAAATGATATGTCGCCTGATGATGAGAACGGTCAATTAGCCCTCTAAGAAATTGCATTTCTTAATTATCTGAGACAGTGAAAAACATCGTCCAACACTGTTCAAATGATGACGTTATACTAAAAGTGGACTAATTCTCAAGATTACTCGAATACCGAAGAAGGCCTGCAAAGTCTATTATCTATGGTCAGGCCGACCCAGCTCTCTACCATGTTAGGTTTGCAACCTAAAAATCTTTTTTTAAATCTCACAAAAGACTTTTAGCACCTCGTTTAGATGATCATATAACTATTTTCATTCTTTTCTTTCTCCCGATTCTTTCATGACTTACCTTCTTTCTTATCAATAGCAAGAACGAGGCAAGTAAACTTTGTTTAAAACATATGAACACGGTCTAAACGCCTTTGAGCAAAATTATCTATGTAGCATTTTAAAAGTTCGTTAGTGCCATCTTTTAGCGAATCGTGAGAGATTACCTTTAAAGAAGCTATCAGACGTCATATCTGTGCTTGTTTCAGCAAAAAACCCATGGAATGTCAAAAATATAAGTGCATTTTATCATTGACTCGTCAAATCTTCCTGCGCCAAACATGTCACAGCGCAAAACTACAGCTTCAGAGAAAAACAATATGGAATAACGTTTTAGAACTTCAATCGTTCAGAACTAACCTCTGAGCAAAAACATGTCGAAAATCGTAGCAGCTTGCTTGCTATCCTCCGAATTATATCAACTGTGTTACATAGGTGTAGGACCTAAAAGTTCTCCTGGTGTATGGCTGAAAGAGACTAGCAAGGTTAAACGGAAGCATCAGCTGGGGGCCTTTGAAACAATAATATCAATTACCATGCCATCGAGCTTCCGGAACGAGCATATAGGAGAGGAGCAGACGTACAGTCTACATGCAGTGCCATCGTTACGTAATACGAAAGTG